TTTTTTTTTTTTTTTTGTATGTGTATGTAGTATATATTCTACATATACATGTGCATCATAGTATGTGGTTTATGTCACAGTAGTCAAAAAATAAATGCACTTTGACGATATGCATTGTGAAGTTAACTATGATATCTGACATGCATAAACTACCAACCAGAAAAAGAATAGGCAAAACTGATGTTAGAGCAATACAGAGTTAAATGTAAAAAAAAAAAGAGATGCCACATTTAATAGTTAAAAAGGTAACAGCTGATGAATTAGCTACTTGTAAACTCACCTAATGAACTACAAACTATAGAGCAATGTGTTTATTTGTCAAACTATTGCTGTTACCTGCAGAAATATGTCTGATGAGCTAATGCTGTTTTGTTTTTTCCCCAGTGACTACATAACCATCAACTAGTTGCTTCAGCTCTACAGTTATACATATTCGACAGTGGTGTTTGCCTTGGTGTTTTTTTTAATTTTTTTATCGTAATAGTAAAACTGAATAGATCTGTTTGGTTGGATAAGTTAGTCCTGAGAAGAGCTCTAATAGGACTAATAATGGTACTATTGGTGTGTAGAGGATTCAACAAATTGTGAAAATAGATTTTATAGGTTTATTCTAAATAAAAATCAGCCTATATAAATATTACCTTAGTACTTTGATAGTTTCTTGTTTTTCCAGCTGGATGCACTAGAGGGCGGTAGAGCATAAGCACATAGTCATGTTTCTACTCTGTTTAAATGTTTGAGCCTAAACTTGTCATCTATTATAGGGCAGCAACTAATTGTGTTCATTATCAATTAATAGGCCAGTTATTTTCTTAATTAATCAATTAACTGTTATGCAAAATGCCCTTTTGTGAGAAGTTTGTCATTGTTTAGTTTATCATAAAAAATTACAAAATCAATTAATTACTCAACAAAGCAGCTTAATTAATTTTCTTTCAATCAGTCCCCTCAACTCCTCATATACAGTCTTTCATTGGGTAAAGTACAGGCATGATGACAACAGAAGCTACCTTTTATGCAATGAACACAAACTGACAGCAAAACAATACAAAATGACCACACAGATGCAAAACAAACACAAAAGATCTCTAAATCTCATGAGTTCTCTTTTTCTTTATATTTCTCTCTCATGCATACAAACATTGTCTTCAAGTCACCACTCAGCAAAATTAATTTGTGTTTTGCATTAACTGTGAGGTGAATCCCTATAATATCTTGGATACTTCTAGTCTAGAAAAGGAAAATCAGCGCAGTTGTACGTAGCTGCCATTTTCATTTCATGCTGTACGCTAACTAGAACCATCCTCATTTCAGTGCAGGTTTAAAACCTTTGTATTTGATTTTCAAATAATAAGATGGGATTTTTACTTTTCACCTTTAAAAATACATTGTCCTTAAAAACTGAATTAAACCTACTTTGGAGGTGGAGTTTCTGAGTTCTCTCAGTTCCATCAGCTACTGAGAATGGCTGGAGAGATGTCTCTCCAACTCCTCCTTGATTAGTTCCAGGTCCTCTGCCAAGTAATTCAGGCCCTTACATTGATCCTCTATACTCGCAACTTGCCCCTGGACTTCTGTTACCTCTTTTTGGACGCCCCATAGCCACCTCTTCATCTCCTGCAGCTCACTCCTAAGTCGGGTGATTCTGTGCTCACCTGTTCCCAGTGTGATGTCCTGGCAAATCAGAGGGGAAACAGTGCATGACCTCAGGGGCATACAACACTAGGTCTTTACATAAATAGCCATGTTTAGTGTAACGGTGAAAATAAAAAATAATCCAAGATGACAAGTGGATATAGTTCATAGCTATTTATTTGTTCTTCAGAGTGTGGAGAACACTTATCCTGTATTTTGTAAGGGCTTTAAATGTGCAGTCCTTTTCTCACAGAAGGAAAAATCATAGGTGTAATAGTAAAATGAATGATAAGTGAATTTTATTTAACTCCTTTGCTTTCAGGGCCCTGGTGTTATCCATGCTGACTCACTTGTCACACTGCCATGGCCTGCTGGGACACGACAAGCTTCATTTGTTTCTTCTGTGAACGCACTGTGGAGCTGTAGCTGTCAGTTTGTTTCATCTGTCCAAAGGATATTCTCCCTGAAGCACTGTGGCTTGTCAACGTGCATTTTAGCAAACCCCACTCAGTTTTTAGGATTCTCTTTCAAATGGACTCTTTCTGGGCCTTTGTCCATGGAGCCTTTTCAGAAAGCAAATTATGGTGTGATTGGACTCATTTGGACTGCAGCTTGTCTGTTTTTAAGATTTCCTTGGTTCCTTTTCCACCATTCAAAATTTTTTTCTGTTCAATTTGGGCTCAGTTGAAATATCAATACAGTCCATTTATTTATCACCACTTCTGGGGACTGGTGTTTTCGCTCAGGCCATTATAGGACATCTTTGTAGAACAAGTTCAGAATTCGGATATTTTTCCAGCATCTCTGTTTTAATTCAGATGCATGCACGTTTACATCATAAGAGTTTTTAATTGAAAAACAAATGAAGCATTGTTTCAGTGAGATGTAAAGATCCCAACATTTTGAGCTACATCTCTACATAGGGACCACCATTTAATGGGGAAGTGTTGTACAGGTGTGGGCAGTGTATTATGCAAGATACTTGGCATCCATTTTATTTCATGTTGTATAAATAAATAGCGTTTTAACAGTAGTCCAGCTGATTGTATGCACTGATGTACAGAGCTCTAGTGTACTTCACATTCAACATCCGGGCCTGGTTATGTACTAAGTAAACTATGTTACCTTGTTTACCAGCTACAGCCAGGTCTCATCTCTCTCATCCTCATCTCTGATAAAGTTTTCTTATGTCTTATCTACAGGAGTCAGTAACGTCTGAGTCAGAAAAGGTCATAGTTAATATCCAAAAACTTTATTTAGTCCTGTCACATACCTCCGTACATTCTTTTCGTTTCGTGCACAGTGCAGGGATTACTGCTTGCTCGCTGCAGTGCACCAGCTACATCGTGCACGACGTGCACACGTGCGAACCTTGACCCACTTGTCCCTCAGCTTGTGTTTTGCTTTGACGTTAGAGCGACAAATCATTTCTTTTCACGTTATTATCAGTCAAAATTGATACAAACATAGGAACTTGTTAAAGTGGCGCAGAGCAGATCGATACTGGGGCGCGTACACAACTAGAAGGGCTCTATCGACGTCTATGACGTTGCTACTTTTGCTTTAGAGTGCTACTTGAAACGGTGACCCCTCACTAATCGTTCGGACTTTTCCGCTGGGCTTCGTCACTTTCCGCGCTCTTCATATTAGTTCCCACGCACTCTCCTTCCCTGCGCCGTGCTGAGCTGGAAAATGGCTGTGTAGGGCAACAGGGAGTTGTGAACGGGGAAAAGAAAGAAGGATCGAGCGCAAAGAAGGCGAAGTAAGAAGTGGACAGAGGTTTTGTTCAAAGTTCCGCGCACTGCGAGAAGCTATCGTCAGCAGAGAAGACATCACACGGACTCTGTCCGCTACTTTGAAGTGTTAACGCGCCTCAGCCACAAGTAAGAAGGTTCAAGAAATATCCGCGGGTGAGTTTTTCCAAGTTATTGCACATTTCCAGTACAGCAGGGCAGCAGTCACTGTACTGGAAAATGGTGGAAGCGCTGCAAGTGTGGTTTGCTCACGCAGGTCCACACCGTTGACTTGTGCCGTACTTCTGGAGTTTGGACACCAGATTTTCTTGGGGTTTCGTTGGACTCTTTGCGCTAAAATGTAACGTTTGTTCTTGCAGCATGATGCTCGGTGCTCGCAGCTGACGTGTATGAAACGCTGAGCCCGTTAAGTTACTGTAATATGAACATTTATTGTAAAGTTGCTTTAGAGTCGAGTTACTTTATTGTGTTTTTTTCTTTTTGTTTGTAGGTTATTCTTAATACGCTAAAATGATAAAGATAACTTTTGAACTTGGTAGTAGCTTCTAAAGTTGTCATTTATGCCTCATTTAAACCTGAGACTTTTTAAAGATAGCCTAAAAGTAACAATTCAAATGTTGCAGATGTTGAAAAGTTGTACTCTAAGTTCTACAAGGCAGGCTTTGCTGTATGGCTGTGCACAGCACTGGTTGTATGTGCTACACCTTTACATTCACTGCACACTGTAGGAGGCCATGCAGTGTGGAGGCCCGAGATAACATCCCTACATTGAGGATTTGGCTTTCATCTAGAAGTTAATAGAAATCGTGCCACTTGCATAATAAGACACTCCACTGTGTGGAGACCCCCCACCCCCTCCCCCCCCGAAATTCCTGAGTCCAACATTATGTAACCAAGTGTCACCATCCATTATTTTGCTTTATCAGTGTGAAGCATGCCATATGGCAAATCCTTCATTCTTCTTCTCTATGTCTTAAAATGCTCTGAATGACTCGCAGGACTTATTGCATTAAAGCTTCCAACAGAAGATGACACTTGTCAAAATGGCAAGTGTCGCTCCAGAATCAAACGTCAGCTTATCTCAAATTCCACCAGACGCTGCATGGCCCTGGTTATTTTTATTATATCTCCTTCAGCTGAGGGGCCTAGTTTAACTGAAATTGTGTTATTTGATCAAAATGGCAACTGCTTTAAGGCTGCGTCAGTCAAGGCTCCAGTAGAAATGCTGCAGACTTTGATCAGATTTGTACCCAAGAAAAACCAACGTTTAATAGTTTAGAAACAAGAAAGAAAAGTAAATTAGCTCTTTGCAGTCGGACAATGCACTGGATACAGATCTAGTTGGTCATGTGCAGTACACTATGTAAAAACCTCTGTTCTGGGTGTGACCAGTCACACCCAAGACTATTATAGTACTCAATATAATAACAGTCAGATAATAAATCATTTTATTAGCATCAGAATGCAAAGTGTTGGACCGAAAGACAAGTTAAATTCATTTGCTTTAGGTGCCACTTAATGTGAATCATTTAATTACAAGCTAAGTAGAACTGGTTCCTTAATAATCCATCTGTGTCACAGTGGGATTAGTATTTGATTAGCTTTGTCGTTGGTATGTGTTGCTACGGAGGCCACTTTATGTTCCCTGCATATATTCATGTTTAGGTCAAATAGAGTTAGTTATAGAGAAGCTGCTGTGTAGTTTATTGTATTTGACTTGTGATGGGTAAGTTGGTAAATGTGAAAGAAACCAGTACAGGGTTTACTAACAACTTACTATGAGCTAACTACGCAGTAAAAAGACCTGCGGTATTTTCAACTGGTGCAGACTCTGGAGGGGTTGTTGGAGTCAACATGTTTAAAGTTAAATACATGTGGACCTAAGGTAGCATATTAAACTATAAGGTGTTGAATTGCCTCCCTTTTAATACAGTCTTCTCTAACTGTCGAGCCTTGTGGCACAGTTGATTCTCCAGAACAGTGGCGTCTCAGTACTACATAATCTTTGTTGCAGATGTTTCTATTTAGCGAAGTGAACCGTTCGGCTTCATTAAGGACAGATAGAATTCAGGCAAACACAACTTAAATCATAAAATGCCTAACCCCTCATTTTAGGCGAAAAAATAAGTCCCCACAAGCTCCTGTGTTGTTGGCCTGTGCTCCCTGCCTGTGGCGCAGTAGATTTTTCAGCTCCATGTGGACAGATGGCACGAGGCCAGGCTGCATGCGTGGTGACTCTGCAGCTCCTCACCAGAAGGGCCGCAAACATATACACAAACTTTAAAGAAATACTGTAACTGTGTCTGTGTAAATGTCTGGATTTTGTATGTTACATTTATTCGTCTCACTGAAGGTCACGTAGGGACAACAGAAAACCTTTGCCTCTCTTTTTTTATCCATAAAAGACATAAATGGGCTCTCTGAGACGTTGCATTTAGTCAGCTCTATCCTTGTGTAGAAGGTGTACAAGCTAAAACCCTGTTCTTAAACTCTTTAGCTCTTTTTGAAAAGTCATTACAGCTCTGTGGTGAACTGCTGCTTGTACTGTATTTGCCAAGACATGTTCCCCTCTCTCCAAGATATGGCAGAAATCATGGGTCCTTCTAATTGTACCCTGCCCTGTAGAGATGAGACTGCTGATAAAACACACACACACACACACACACACACACACACAAAGCCATGATTGTTGATGTGGTATGTTCAACACTCCCTCAGGTCTGCAGAGAAACTTGTTTATCTGCATTGGTTGCTGATAGCTGGGTGGTTGATTTACAGGAGGAATGGTAACACAGGCACATAGGTTTTAGCCTCTTTAACACACAATACCCTATATAGAAGTAGACTGATAAATTGACCAGGACGATTTGTTAGCTGATATTAGCTTTTTGTAACTATGTTATTATCATGTTGTATACAAGTTGGTTGAGAAGTAACAAGAAATCTAAGCAGCTTTGATTGGTCTGATGCTGTCACTCCACTTCTGGTCACTGCTGTGCAGAATCTGGTAGCAAAAAAAAAAAAAAAAAAGCAAGTTGGCAGTTGACATCTGAGAAACTGTAGCCATAAAATGTTTGATCTTTGCTTGAAAGAAGTCAAACAGTTCATTTTGTACAACAAATCAGTTAATAACTATTACACAGGAACTCTCAAATACTTTTTATATATACACCGGAAATGAAGAACTACCTACAAGATAGGAAAAGCATTTTAGTCCAAATCACAGCTACTTAAATATATTAGTGCAGTGACACTAAAATAAATTAAAGAAATGAATGGAAATATCAAGATAACTGATCCAGGTTTTGTCAGCAGGTCGACTGTATTAGTGATGCTCTAAATAACTTATTTGCCATTTTTACTTTATGCATCCTTGTTCGGAGCTGACTAAACATGGAGTCACTGATGTCCGCAGACAGCAGAGTAAAGTCTAGATGCCGTTTTGAGTTAAACCTAGGTCTCGTTTTCCCCCACAGTTAAATTCAGTATCTGTGAAATAACAAATATCATCTCAGAATAATGACTGTGGACACATAACAAACATTTTTAAATTGCTAGAATGAATAGTTGTTATTTACTTACTAGCTTGTGTATGACATTACCAGGATACTAACACTTTTGAATATGTTGTCATCTTGAGTGTATTTTCCTTCACTTGGTGCAAATAATGACCACATTTCTTGCCTTTTTAACTCAGGAAAAAATAATCTCCTTTCATCCTATTGCATGAGGTCAACATGACTGGTGGAGTTCTCTCCAATCGCATGCAGCCTTCAGTTTCCCTCCACTATGTGCCTCATCATACTCCTGTGACAGTTTCATTTGACTGAAATCATCCTTTCATCAAAGGTGATGAGCAGTCATCATGGTCACACAGGTGAAAAAGTCAAGTTTGTGGAAAGAGGTGCAGTTGTTTGGTTCACATGTTTGATCACTGCCTAGATACATTTTCTAATATTAGAACATTTTCTTGATTTGCCCGGCTTCTCTGGTGACTGGAGAGCACATGGCCAGAGCAGCAGCCTATCAGAGTGCAGGATTAGCTTTCCCTCTCTCTAGCAACAGTGAGTTACTTGCTGCCTATTCATTATTTATTTTCCTGTGATCTCCTTCAGCCGTTCGGACTCTGCTGACAACAGAGTGCTCTCCCTCTCAGTCTCTGTTTTTTTGCAGCTTTTTGTCACGCTCTGCTCTGACTGAATAAAAAGTCTCTAAAACCAGGATGGATCCGGTGACGCTGAGCTTAATAGCTGCTGCTGCAGCTGCCCTGAACTGTGAGCTCCAACAACACTATCAAACCAGGACTGTAACAGAGAGGACTCTCTCATGTCACACGACTTTTTCTGCTCTGGAACTCAGCAGTAAAAAAGAGCTACTTGTTAAGCGTGCTCCCTGTGCACTGCTTTTTCTTCTACTTCATCTTGTTTTTCACTCTTTTTTGCAGCTGCTTTCTGATTATAAACATGTGAAACATGGCAACTGGAAAAATGC